AGAATAAAATACCTAGGAATAAACCTACCTCAGGAGACAAAAGACCTGTATGCAAAAAGTATAAGACACTGAGATGGAGAGATATACCATGTTTTTGGATTGGAAGAATCAACATTGCGAAAATGACTATACTACCCAAAGCAATCTACAGATTCAGTGCAATCCCTATCAAACTACCACTGGCATTTTTCACAGGAGTAGAACAAAAATTTTCACACTTTGTATGGAAATACAAAAGACCCCAAATAGCCAAAGCAATCTTGAGAAAGAAAAACGGAGCTGGAGGAATCAGGCTTCCTGACTTCAGACTATAATACAAAGCTACAGTAATCAAGACAGTATGGTACTGGCACAAAAACACAAATATAAATCAATGGAATAGGATAGAAAGCCAAGAGATAAGCCCATGCACATATGGTCACCTTACCTTTGATAAAAGAGGCAAGAATATACAATGGAGAAAAGACAGCCTCTTCAATAAATGGTGCTGGGAAAACTGGATAGGTACATGTAAAAGAATGAAATTAGAACACTCCCTAACACTATACATAGAAATAAAGTCAAAATGGATTAAAGACCTAAATGTAAGGCCAGACACTATAAAACTCTTAGAGGAAAACATAGGCAGAACACTCTATGACATAAATCACAGCAAGATCCTTTTAGACCCACCTCCTAGAGAAATGGAAATAAAAACAAAAGTAAACAAATGGGACCTAATGAGACTTAAAAGCTTTTGCACATCAAAGGAAACCATAAACAAGACGAAAAGACAACCCTCAGAATGGGAGAAAATATTTGCAAACGAAGCAACTGACAAACGATTAATCTCCAAAATATACAAGCTGCTCATGCAGCTCAATATCAAAAAAAACAAACAACCCAATCCAAAAATGGGCAGAAGACCTAAATAGACACTTCTCCAAAGAAGATATACAGATTGCCAACAAACACATGAAAGGATGCTCAACATCCCTAATCCTTAGAAAAATGCAAGTCAAAACTTCAATGAGGTATCACTTCACACAGGTCAGAACGTCAATCATATAAAAATCTACAGAGAATAAATGCTGGAGAGGGTGTGGAGAAAAGGGAACCCTCTTGTACTGTTGGTGGGAATGTAAATTGATGCAGCCACTATGAGAACAGTATGGAGGTTCCTTAAAAAACTAAAAACAGAACTACCATATGACCCAGCAATCCCACTACTGGGCTATACCTTGAGAAAACCATAATTCAAAAATAGTCATGTACCACAATGTTCATTGCAGCACTATTTACAATAGCCAGGATATGGAAGCAACCTAAGTGTTCATTGACAGATGAAATGGATAAAGAAGATGTGGGACATATATACAATGGAATATTACTCAGCCATAAAAAGAAATGAAATTGAGTTATTTGTAGTGAGGTGGATGGACCTAGAGTCTGTGAAACATAGTGAAGTCAGAAAGAGAAAAACAAATACCCTATGCTAACACATATATATGGGATCTAAAAAAAGAAAAGGTTCTGAAGAACCTAGGAGCAGGACAGCCATAAAGACTCAGACGTAGAGAATGGACTTGAGGACACAGGGAGAAGGAGGGGCAAGCCGGGACAAAGTGAGAGAGTGGCATGGAGATATATACACTACCAAATGTGCAATAGATAGCTAGTGGGAAGCAACTGCATAGCACAGGGAGATCAGCTCAGTGCTTTGTGACCACCTAGAGAGGTGGGATAGGGAGGGTGGGAGGGAGACTCAAGAGGGAGGAGATTTGGGGATATATGTATATGTATAGCTGATTCACTTTGTTATAAAGGAGAAACTAACACACCATTGTAAAGCAATTATCCTCCAATAAAGATGTTAAAGAAGAAAAAAAAAAACATGACTTCAGGGGTCCTAAAAGTTCATACTCCCTCTCCTTAATTGTAACTGGCAATAAAATAATAGTTACAACCACACACACTCATGCAAATTCTTGGTATCTTCACTTATGGCTACTGACCATGGTCAAGTTGTTGATACTGTCTGTGTTGTTTCAGTTTCCACAATGAGTATAATAGTAATAAATAGTAGTGAAATGGGACTTCCCTGGTGGCGCAGTGGTTAAGAATCCGCCTGCCAATGCAGGGCACATGGGTTCACACCCTGGTCTGGGAAGATCAAGGCCTGCAGACCCTCACTTTCACCCTGATTTCTCCCTCTTTTAAATACCTAGACCTCCTGTTGCCTGCACCATTTATGAGGCATTTACCACGTATTTATTCTTTTATTCATCCAGCAACTCATGGGCTAGGTACTGCGAACATAGAAGTGACTAAAACAGATACAGTCACCACATTCATGGGTCCTATGGCCTGGGGAGGGAGACAGACATTCAACAAGTGAGCAAGCACGTAATTATTTAATCCAGCTGTGCTAAGTGCTATCAAGACAAAGTGTGGCATGCACTGAGAACCTGTCACAGAGGAAGCTCACCTAGCCTGCAGAGTCAAGAAAGATTTCTTTGAGGAAGTGACATTCAAGTTGAGGCTTAAAGGATACACTGCTTTCTACTGTCACCATAGACAATAAATGTTTATTTAGGATCTATAACCTAGGTGGAATGTCAAGGCACATGTACTTACAGAAAAAATAGCCGCAGGAGGTAGCACTACCAAGGGAACAGAATGTACCTTCTACCGATGATTGGAATCCCCGAAGGTTAGAGGCTGTCTTAGAAACATTTTATATAAAGTATGAGATTTGAGCAGGGCCTTAACTGGAAAGGTGGAACTAAGACAAGGATGGGGGAAAAGAGGAATTCTTGATAGGGGAAAATATAAACATATGGGCAGAGATAGGAAAAGGCAAAACATTTAGACAGGTTGCTTGAATCAAGGAGTGACATAGGAAAGTAATTAAAGACAAAGAGTGGGGTGGTAGAGGGGCTTGTTTTATCTTACATGGAATTTTCTTCCTTCTTTGAAGGAATGGCCTTCTTTGAGACTCTCATGAAAGCCTTGGACCCCTCCTCATAAGAAAGAAAGAAAAGAAAAGAAAGAAAGAAAGAAAGGAAGGAAGAAGGGAGGGAGGGAAGGAAGGAAGAAAGAAAGAAAGAAAAAGAAAGAGAGGAAAGAGCATTCATAAAGCTGCATACAATTTCAGGGGTTCACAATCCCCCTGAACTCCCATTTAGGAACCCCTGCTATAAGCAAGTAGCACTGAAAGGGTGTGAGTGAAGGAAAGGCAGCACATTTCAGACCATGTTTAGAAGCCTTCACTTTCCTGAGAGGCTAACAGCTGTTGGCAGTGAGGTTAATTGAGAAACTATTGCAATACAATGCAAGCTAGAGCTCATACCGCCCTAGGCTAAGGTAGCAGCTTTAGGCACTCATTAATTAAGTAAACTAATATTTATCGAGAGCTCACTCTGAGACAGGCCTGGTTCTATTAATGAAGAAAAAAAGATCACTGCTGTCAAGGAGCTCCAAGCTGGGCAGGATCAGAAAGGTAAGCAGCCACAGACATCGAGGGAATCAGAGCAGTAGCAGATTGTCTTACCCAGAACTTGCCACTGCCCATTCCCTACAGAATTAAATCAAAGTCTTTAATATCATGTTCAAGGCATTTCACAAAATAGCCACATCTCACTTTTCTGCTGTCATTTCCACTTAGGCCTGCATGACAGCTTCTTGCAACACGCACCTGCACCCTGCAGGGTGGCCACATGGGACTCTTGACTATCTTCTGACACTGCTTTGCCTTTTCCTGCCTCTGTTCTGTCAGTATTTTCCTCCCACCAGCTGTGCCTGGTCAAATGCCTACCCATTACCCATGCTTCAAGGCCCAGCTGAGGTGTTGCCTTCCTTGAAGCTTTGTGGAGTCTCCCCATTCATTCTGCCCTGATTTACTGTGTGTGCCTCACTCTCCCCCAGTACTCAGTAAGCTGGAGAGGGCAGGGTGTCATCCTTTGATCTCATCCTGGGAAGTGCCCAGTTCCTGTGCTGACAGGTGCTCAATATATACACTGAACCGAAAGGCAGGGGCTTGGTGAGAGAACAGGGCCAAGGGAGCTTTGGGAGCCATCATCCAAGCCTTGGTGGTTGGCATCAGAAAAGGTAAACTTCCTATTCACCTCCTCCTGGAAGAATTCACCCTGTAGGGAGGGAGGGAGGCCATCCCCGGCACACACCATGTGCTCAGTAAATACGGGTTTAAAAATATAGGACATTCATATCCAGGTAACTTAGATCACCCTGTTTATAATGATGGCGGTTCCCACAGGCTGAGGATAAATTCTACTCTCACAATTACCAGTTTTGGATGCAGACTTCCACATTTCTACTGGATTATTATTGTTGCTATTTAATTATTAAGAAAAGAGCTTACTTGCAAAAGCCAAATGGTTATAAAGCCTAATCATCCTTGGAAGTATTATAGGGTCACTCGAATAGCTCTTGCTTTTAATTCTTTAACAACTGTGGGTCGAACCTCATTGTGCCATTACCTCACCTTTGTTTGCACTATCAAAATACGCAAGACGTTGCCAAGGACGACTGAATTCTTTGGCTCGACCGCAGCTGTAACAGGATGGGTGCACATTTCCCTCTTTGGGGTACGAGGGGATGTGGGTGCCTTCCCAGGCCAACCGTGCAAAAGGAAGAAGTCATGCCTGACTGAGGGGGGCTAGGCAGAAATCAAGGTCCTAAAATGAACACTCACCAGGGCAGCGCCAAGTCCCAGCAAGGGCCGCGTCTCCTCAACTTTACTGAAGAAGCGGCGGGGCGCAGGACCCCCTCATCCGTTAGTCTGGGTGGCGCTCTCTCCTCTGGCCTGGCGCTCACCACCCGCCTCCTCGCGGGGCCGCCCTTCGCAGGTGCGCAGAGCTCCTTACGCATCGTCTTCCCGCCTTGTATCCGCACCGCCCCCGCCCCCCACGCCCTGGGACCGAGGACGTGCTGATCCGATTGGCCGAGGGCGGCGGGGGCGGGTCCGGAGCACCCGGGGAAGCCAGGGGCCAAAGGCGCTGGCGGGGCTGACTGCGCGCAGCGGGAGTGCTGGGTGCTGAGTGACCCCGAGGACTCGACTGACCCGCCCGAGCCGGCTCAGGATGAGGACGCGCTGGTCCACCCCTCTCCGTGCGGCGGAGCTGCTCGTGCTGCTCCTCCCGTGCTTCGGTCTGGTGGAGCCCTCTGGCCGCTCAGGTAACCGCGGGCGCGTCCGCTCGCCGGCCGGCTAGGGACCTCGACGTTGCCAGGCCGGCTGACTTTCCTCAGTTTGGGTTAGGGCTGCGCTCCGGGGTCACGTCACCTCTGCTTTGCTAGGGGCTGGAGCCGGACAAGTGAGCCGAAGGGAGGTCCGGGGAGAAGCAGCTCCATTACCCCCCGGGGTCCCGGAGGAGGGCGGGGTGGGGCGTGGGAGCGCCGGGCTTTTCTCGTGCTGAGGGCGAGGAGTCCACCGTAGCGGAGGCACCCAGAGCCTTTTCAGAACGAGGCTCCCGCTCCTTCCTCGTCCTCTCTCCTCTAAAATCTTGCTTTCCTAGAGTATAGGGCTCCTTAACACCACCACCCCCCCAAGCCCCATCCCGCCCATCTCGCCCCTCGTCCCTTGGTCACCTTGGCCACTCAGTGTCCCCGCCCATCTCGCCCCTCGTCCCTTGGTCACCTTGGCCACTCAATGTCAAGAGGAGCTTTCCACACACAGCGCCAGAATGAGTAACGATGCCCTGACTTCACTGCGCTCATGGTGCACATCAAAAAGCCATGTCTCCTAGAGTGACCATGGCCGTGACTCTGTTATGATGCCCTCCCCCAGTGCCTCGAGCAGCGAGCGTTTCTTCTACTTGGCTTATCAGCTCCAGACGACCGCCCCATGCCCTACCCCAGAGGCCGGTGGTCCCGCGGTGGAACTCGGATTGCTTGCCCGGAGACCTGCTGCCTGTCGCTTCAGAAGCAGGACCAGGATCAGACACCCTTCGCTGATGCTCTGGGCAGTGCTTGCCGCACCAACCCCTTCGCAGCACCCGGAGTATGCTTTTACTTTCTCTTTTTGCCTTGGCCAAAGGTGTGCTGAGGATTTTGTTTCTTAGTCTGGCCACTTAATAGGCAATCCGTGAGCCGTCCCTACCTATTATTTCCGTCATCTTGTCTAGATGAGGAAGTAAAAGATGGTCGAGGGAGTTTTTGAAAAGCTTCAGTTTGCTTGTGGCATTTACTTTCTTTGCAGCTAAACTAAGTTACTCTCTGAGTTATAGTTTGTTCAGAGTATGAGTGGCATCGTCTTATCTACATCCAGAACTTTTTAGTTGACCTTGTTCTGATTCACACTTCTGTGTTCTTTGATCCTCCATGTTGGAAACTACCTAAAGGCCTTTACTGCTGTGAGAATTCTATTCTGCCTGCCCCATAATCCAGGGAGAAAATTTTCACCGCAGCGACTAACTATAGTCAAAACACTCTAGCCTTTCAATCACTATACTCTTGGTTTCCATCTACATTTGCTTTAGTCTTATCTGTTTTGTCTCCCCCATAGAACTCAAGACTTCGTTAATTTTTGCAGTCTCTGCAATCCCTGGCCTTTCTCATTAACCCAAAGCAAAGAGCACCAGCTTAACGCCATTCTTCCTGCACTAGGTCCTCGCAGGTATTTGTTTTCCTGCATCCTTCCCCACCTTGAGCAGCTGCTCTGATCAGCTTACACACACCATCAGACCAGACTTGTGGCCCTATTAAGGGAAGCGCTGGAATTTTGAAACCCTAGCCACTTGGGTAGCTTGTTGGCAGTATGCCGGCTTCATGATGCTGGTGATGGCGTGCACTCCATCACATGTACGCAGCTAGGTTTGCGCAGGTGGTCTCCATTGCTCAGACGCTGGAGGAGTACCTCTGTGTCCTTGGGGAAATGCCAATTGCTTAGTTAACTTTTTTTGCCTCCTTGGAGGGCCAACAGCTTGAAGTAAACTAATTCTTCAGGGACTTCTGAGGTTCTCACCAGCCCACACCACCCAGCCTGAACCCCGTGACTTTCTGACTGCTAGTACACTGATGTGGACCCAGGTGTCACTTCAGGACCTGTTTTTTGTTTGTTTGTTTTGGCTTTATTTATTTATTTTTGGCTGAGTTGGGTCTCCGCTGCTGCACGCGGGAGGACCTGTTTTTGAACTGGCAAATCCAGACTTCTGAGTCTCTCCTAGTGTACACTCTGCGCACACATGGTAGCAACTCCACAAAATGCTTAACAGTGTGGGCTGTGGAAGTTCCCCTGAAACTAAAAAAGCTGCAGTCTTCATCCTTCTTGCCTTCCCAAGCCATCTCTTCTCCATTTGTCTGTGGTTACAAAATGTTGAGGTCCAGCTTCTCTTTGGAATGTGCAGAACTCTTTGGTTTAGGGCTTGTAACAAAGGAGTTACTTCAGAATCAGGCAATAAGAAATAGTTTTCCTGTGATGGTCTAAAAATTCATTTTCAATTGTGATAATGCTATGTAGCCATTTCCTCTCAAACACCAGTAAAATGTTTATATAAAACGAAACATTAAAAAGTGCTGCTAGAGGTGTTGAGGCTTCTTTTCATCAACCTCTGTCTTTTAGACTTGTCCCAATATTGTATTTGTAGGTAAATATTAAAATTCCATTTAGGGCCAGTATAAAGTGAACAAGATGCAATATAGGGCTATCAATAAAGAATCAGTTTTATAAATTGCTCTGCAATCACCTTTTCAAAGTGTAATACATTTCTGATATATGTCATAGACCCTTATTAAACAAATTTTCTAAATAAATTATTTTCACACTTTCTTAGTTCTTCTTCCCACTCTTCAACCTACCCTCCCAATAGGGTCACAAGACTGGGGCAGACTGAACGCTTCTTCTTAAGGATAAAGAAAGATAGGGGAAAACATCATGAGTACAAGACTCTCCTCAGGTTATGTATTATGTACGAATGCTTACACATACATCATGTATGAAGGCTAATAACAAGTTTCCTTAAATCATATCAATAATTAATGTATTTGCTAAGTGATCACTATAGGTGTCAAGCATTGATATTACATACTTGGTTAAAAGACAGATTTAGAATGAGGCAAGTATCTATAATCACAGATGTTTGCAATTAGGTAAGAAGCTTGGCAATTCCTATTCAATGTAGCTACTCCACACCTCTCCTGTAGTCTTTCAGAGGTCCTACAAGCTTGTTAAGTCCATGGGTGTCCTAAAAGTTAAACATACAGTAAATGGGAAAGGTTAAATTTTTTTTCTCTTCTAAAGAGTACTTATAAAGCAGCACTGTCACTTAAGTGCACATGCCCAATACAGATGGAATTCAAATGACCTAAAATTCTACTAGCATGACATAATAAAGTTGTGGACATCTGTTTAAGAACAATATGCAATGAACTTAGCACAGACCTGTAAAGCCTACAAGGCTAGAAAAACTCAGTAGAAGCATAGGATGTTAGTACTGGAAGTGACTTAGGTTTCTTATATCCACTGCTTTCATCTTATATTTGGAGATTAGAAGATCCTGAGGAGATTAATTGACTTTCCCAAGGTCTCCCAGCTAACCAATAGCAGAGGTAAGTCTTCAGTCTAGGACCCTAACTCCTTATTCCACTGCTCTTTCCACTATTCTAAGAGCTGTAGCTAATCCATTGCATTCTGCAAAGGCAACTTGGAAAATCTAGAACTCCAGATTGCAAAGGTAGGCAAAGCTGGGGTCAAAGGGCACAGAGCGAAGTGCCCAGGAAAGATTATAAAGTGCAGGGAGATTATAGGCAAGAGAGGGGACGGTTCCAGCAGGGGTGGCCACCGCCCACTCTCCTGCAGAAGCAGACTTCTTTTTTTCTGTGGTAATTCCTGATACTTTGGAACCCAGGAGAGGTGAGAGGGAATAGGTTGGGAAAGAGGTACATCACAGTCTGATAATCTTCTAAAATAGTACATTTTCCTTTTTTTGTTAACTACCCTTCCAAGCTGTGCCCATAAAATAGAGAATGGCAGAGTGATGTCAAAGAAGAGTGAGGGATGGAAGCTGCTATCCAAACAGATCTAGCTGCAACCCTAGGCAGTATTTTAAAATACCAATCTGAAAGCAGAAATAAAGTTTTAAAGGATTTTGTTCTTGTTGTTCCTGTTGTTTCTCTTGGTGCTGCTACTGCTTTTTTTTTTTTTGCGGTACGCGGGCCTCTCACTGTTGTGGCCTCTCCCGTTGCGGAGCACAGGCTCCGGACGCGCTGGCTCAGCAGCCATGGCTCACGGGCCCAGCCGCTCCACGGCACGTGGGATCTTCCCGGACCGGGGCCGGAAGCCGTGTCCCCTGCATCGGCAGGCGGACTCTCAACCACTGCGCCACCAGGGAAGCCCCTGCTACTGCTATTTAAAACAAACAAAACTTCCATCCAAAGTTCAAACTGGAATTGGACTTAATTTTATAGTTGTTATTTGCATGGTGAAATTTCCTCTCAAGGCCTTAGTGTGAGAATTTTTAACTCTGCAAGCCTGTGAATTATTACTAGAAAAGGTGTTTAGTGTTAGTAAAACCACTGAATGTGAGGCTGGTATCAAAGCGAAAGTGCCTTTTGGGAACTAAAATCTTACAGCTCCTTCTGCTGAACCCTTTGGTTCATTGACAAAGATTGCTTACGTTTGTCTAAACTATTTCAGCTCACCAACATGAGGTTCTGTGCTAACTTCAAAAAGTGTTTCTTTGTCAGAAAATGTTTCTTTGTAAAGGCACTGACCAAATTGTTCAATTGTGGTTTTCTGTAACAGATGTGACTCTTGCTCCACAAACTCAGGTGTGCAAGAAGCAGTGTACTACTTTATTTTCATAAAATCAAATTAAGTTTTGTTCTGAGGTCCCATTCTACCAGATTAACAGAAATTCAGTTTCTGTCACTACTGAGGTCTTCCCCAGCTCATGCAAAACTGCCAGGGAAGCATTCAGGGAGATCCCTCCCTTTGCCCTCAGCTCACACTGATTACTTCTGAGTTTCCCGTTGTCCAAACCTACTGGGTCTTGAATCCTGTGGCTCAGGTGATTTCTGGAGCTCAGGTTTGACCTTCCCAGGCGATCCAGGTGGTCAGTCCCCACATCCCCTCCCCAGGGGCATCCTGTCACCTTCCTGGAGGTTCAACAGTGGAGCTTGTCATAGGTCCCCCAACCGTCAGAACCCAGGCCACCATTTCCTCTCATCCTTTTATCTCACTATTCTACTTCTACCCTATTTCCTCTCAGACACATTAATGTGATATAATAATTTACTCTGCTGTAGCAGCCAAAGTGTAAGCAAGACAGAATTGCAGTCCTGAATAAGCTCAGGATAGTTTTCATTGACTACAGGTCACTTATCTAAAGAAGATGAAAACTAAGGAGCTTCTTCATCTTATTAAATAAGGGGGAGAAATAGTTCACTGAATGGCGATAACAAATGTGCATACTATTCTAAGTGCTTTACATGTATGAGCTCATTTTATCCTCACATCTACCCTATGAAGTACTGTTTTACAAAGGAGGAAGCTGAGACATAGCAGGTAAATAACATCCTGATCACATGGCTGATAAGTAGCAGAGGCAAGCTATAAACCCAGGCAGACTGGCTCCAGAACCCATGCTCTTACACAACACTGAACTGCCTCTCCGGCTCTCACTGTCCTCCGACCTTGTGTAGAACATTACAGTTTATACAGCTTGGAGGGTCTTAACAGTCCAGGGGTGCTCGGACTCTCCTTAGCAAACAGGGGCCAGGGCATATCAACCACATAATTCAGAATCCTGAAATGTCTTTTCTGCCTGTCTTGTCTCAGGTGGTGATTCATTCACCATCGTTAATGAAAACACAGGCAAGTGCATCACGCCACTGAATGACTGGATAGTAGCAAAGGACTGTGATGAAACCAAGGACATGTTGTGGAAGTGGGTGTCCCAGCATCGACTCTTTCATTTGCAATCCCAGAAGTGCCTTGGCCTAGACATTACCAAACCTGTGGATTCCTTGAGAATGTTCAGCTGTGACTCCAATGCCATGCTGTGGTGGAAATGTGAGCACCGCTCTCTGTACGGAGCTGCCCGGTACAGGTTGACTCTGAAGGGTGGACACGCCATAGCAAGTACCAATTCATCTGATGTCTGGAAAAAAGGAGGCTCAGAGGAAAACCTCTGTGCCCAGCCTTACCATGGTGAGTACTGGAGAGGCACTTTGACTCACTTGCTGCTGTATTTGGTGAAAGTGGCCTTGAACATGTACCACTGACCACAAGGAGAGTCATACACTTGTGAGGGGAGTGAGCTGGTGTTTAGTTCCAGACACCGACGTCAGTGCCATTTGCTCCCTTTAACAGGCAAGGCTAGGAGAGGTTAGGTGCCTTGTCAGAGGTCTTGCAGCCATTCTGTGGCACCCTGGGATTCGAAATCTCTCCGATGCCTGAGCATATGTACTTCCTATGACTACATCCTGAACTCCAGAGAAAAGGAAATGTTAGAGTAACAGGAAGTCCTCTACACAGGATAAAAGTCAAATGATCTAGTAAAGTTGAACCTATTCTAAGTTAAAAAAGAAGAAGGAGAAAGGGAAAAAAAAGGAAATGAATTTTTTCTTGTCTGCAGATTTGGATGTAATGGAAAAACTTTAAGAGTCTTGTGGGCTTTACTTTTATTTTTGGCATGGCTATCACACTTTGATGTTTGTGTTTATGATTTAACATTTTAACAGTGGACTTTTTCCTCACTTGCTTCCAAAAATAAGTATATGAATACAGATCTTCCTCCACTAACAATGGGGTTATGTCCCTATAAACCCATCATAAGTTGAAAATATCATAAGTCAAAAATGCATTTAATACACTTCTAATGAACATCATAGCCTGGCCTACCTTAATTGTGCTCAGAACACTTACATTAGCCTACAGTTGGGAAAAATCATCTACCACAAAGCTTATTTTAAAATAAAGTGTTGAATATCTCATGTAGTTTATTGAATACTGTACTGAAAGTGAAAAACAGAATGGTGTGTGTCAGTTGTTTACCTTCATGACCGTGTGGCTGACTGGGAGCTGTGGCTGCTGCTGCCCAGCATCATGAGAGAGGATTGTACCATGTACTGATAGCCCAGGGAAAGACCAAATTCAAAGTATGGTTTCTATGGAATGAGTACCGCTTTCACACCATCACAAAGTCGAAAAATCATAAATCAAACCATCGTAAGTCTGAAACTGTCTTTGTTGCCTTTGGGGGAGCTGATCATGAACTTTGTTTTGAGTGTAGAGACTCAGTTATAACAAATTTCTGAGTTTAAAAAGAAAGTAGATTCATTTTTTAAACCTATAAATGTAAATTACCCAAGCAAATCCTTTTTTCATTATGTTGCTCTAACTTACATCAAATGCTGGTGCATATATATATATATATATATATATATTTAATTATCTAAGTCTTAACTATTGTCTGTGCTCTTCTTTGTACATTTACATAGCTTTACAGAGATTTTCCTCTTCTCTTAAGCTAAATTTGGCCTCCCATTCTTCTTGTTGTCTGCACAGTTTTTTCTCCTAGGGGAACCTCTTTTTGTTTCCTAGTGAAGATGCAGCAGCTTCTGAGATGTCAGGTTCTGCTGTTACAGGAAATATTAGAGAATCAGAGATGGGATTTTCCTTTTCTTCAGTCCTCAACCCTTAAGTAGTTGAAAAGTCTGCTTCTGCTAGCCACCTTCCTCCTAACCTTAAAGAGCAACTGCTTTCTGGATACCACTTAATGGCAAGCTTAAATTTTGTGCTATAAAAGCCTTTCTGTAACTTGGCAGCTAAGAGAAAACATGGAACCAAACAAATTGCCTTTTGAACTGGATTTGACTTGTTTCCTTGTATTTGTTCAAGGATTAGAAAAGATAATTTTCTTGGCAGGGCTCTTTCTGTCTCCTGCTCCTAATTCTTTTGAGGGACATAGTTGTAATTATAAATTCCCTCAGTCCCCAAAATGCCTTTATTTCAACGTAACTGGTTTTCTTGGTAATCCTATGTGTTTTATTTTATGCATTTATAATATTCTGCTGAGAAGGGGGCTTGTGTGCTTCACATGGCTGCCAAAGTGATCAGTAGCACAGAAAAGATTAAGAACTCACCTAGGGGACTTCCATGGTGGCGCAGTGGTCAAGAATTCGCCTGCCAATGCAGGGGACACGGGTTCGAGCCCTGGTCCAGGAAGATCCCACATGTCGCGGAGTGACTAAGCCTGTGCGCCACAACTACTGAGCCTGCGCTCTAGAGCCCGCGAACCACAACTACTGAGCCCACACACCTAGAGCCAATGAGAACAACAAGAGAAGCCACTGCAATGAGAACCCGTGCACCGCAATGAAGAGTAGCCCCCGCTCGCCACAACTAGAGGAAGCCCGTGCATAGCAACGATGACCCAACACAGACAAAAATATAATTAATTAATTAATTTAAAAACAAACAAAAGGAACCCACCTAGGGTGTCACCCCAGAGAAAGCTAAACAGTGCTCACCAGCAAGAGCCCATAGGCATAGAGTGTTTCTTGACCTTAGCAAACACAGTATTTGGAACACTAAATTTCCAGATAAGAAACTTAAAAATTTCTAAGAAAAGATGCATGTAGTCCTGACTTATCGACATATACCTCGAGTTTTTACATGAACAGAGGCCAGGGCCAAACGTGCCTCTTCTTCATTCCTCTCCAGGTGACTTGTACCATCGAAGTTGCATATGTCAGAAATCTACAAGTCACTCTAGAGTTGCCCTGCTTTCTTCTCCCACCATTCAAATTCAATCAAATATTAAGTCCTGGCAATTCTACTCTTTTAAATTTATGCAGTCCCTTCCTGTTCTTGGGTTGGAGACTGCTGTCTTAAGATAGGAACTTCCCCTAGGACTGCTCTCTCAGACTCTTCATGTTGGTCCCTGCCCCCTCCTTCCTGTCTGATTGTACAGAATAAGAAAGATAAGATACCTGAGTTCAACAAAATGAAGTTCAAGGTAACCCAGCTTGTTACAGCAAAGCGAAGGCTCAAAACCAGCATTGTGTTCCCCAAATTTAGCTTCTTTTTTTTGGGCCTCTCACTGTTGTGGCCTCTCCCATTGCAGAGCACAGGCTCCGGACGGGCAGGCTCAGCGGCCATGGCTCATGGGCCCAGCCGCTCCGCGGCACGTGGGATCTTCCCAGACTGGGGCACGAGGCCGTGTCCCCTGCATCGGCAGGCGGACTCTCAACCACTGCGCCACCAGGGAAGGCCAAATTTAGCTTCTTTATTTCTCCCTTGGCTTTTGCTGTATAATTTCTTTTTTTTTTTACCTCTGATATAAGAACATTTATCTCTCATTGTGTCCTGGGTTACCTCTCTCCCCAACCCCCATCCTGTGTGAGCCATGTTTCTCTCAGAGAAAAATTTTAGCTGTATAAATTTTATGAATAAATTGCTCTTGACTAGCATCCAGGTATGCATTTATATCATTAAGATATCTTGACCTCACTAGCAGTCTTCAAGTTTTGAATGTTTGGTGAATCATGCAGAGGAAGTAGACTTAGTGGAGGGGTGGCTCTAGAAGTGTCTAAAGTCTGAGCAACTCAGAAGCCTGCCGAGCTCTCTAAACATTGAAACTATTTTGTCTTGTGCTACCAAAGAGTTTAATGTTAGTTTTCCAGGACTTCCCTGGCAGTCCAGTGGTTAAGACTCTGTGCTCCCAATGCAGGGGGCATGGGTTCAATCCCTGGTCGGGGAACTAGATCCCGCATGCAGCGCCATGCGGCCAGAAAAAAAAAAAAGTTAGTTTTCCATGTAAGCATCTCATCTCACACATTTGTGCCTATCGTAGAATAAGCTGCTGTTTTAAGGCTGCCATCACCATAAATTCATACATTCAGAGAAGATTCTTCTCAAGAAAGCCTGTGTCTCTGGGGAGACGCTTGGGACTTAAGAGGTCCAGTAGCATCGAACAATGTGCAAGAATAAAACTAACACAGTATTGTGAAGCAGTTATACTCCAATAAAGATCTATTAAAAAAAGAACCCTTAGTGAGTAGTTAGCATAATTTAGCTGCTGCTCTTGTGGTGGTTGTTCCATGTTATCATTCTTCAAAGCATATTGTGAACAGGAGAGCGTTTTAATTGAAGCCCAGCTTTGAGCTATGACACTAACTTGGAACCTGAGAAAGCAGCCATTGATGTCACAAGTTGTCCTTATATGTCAAGGACTCTAATCAGAGAGTCAGTTCTCATCCCTGGCACAGCTGAATGACTGAATGTTTCACTTAACTTTGCAAAAATGGGGATTTCACAAACAAGTGTAATACTTGCCCTACTGATCTTGTGGGCTTATGGGAAAGAACAAGTGAAAGTACTTTGTATTACAGAAACACAGGGTTTTACAAAAAAACCCTGATGGTTCTACAAATGATAGTCATTGTGCTCAGGAACTCTCCTTTTAAGTGCTGTAATTTGGGAAGAGAAATCGGTCATGAGCTATTGGGAGTTTTGGTATGGTTAAAAATAAAACATGCTAATAAGCAGAATCCTTATAAAATATAAGGTCAAATTACTCTTTAACAAAAGTACACTGTTCAAAACCATTTATATGTCAGAGGAAAACCCAATGTTCCTTAAAAGATTGTTTGCAAGTAAAAGCATCTAGATTACTCTTCCTTTTGCTGTACTGCTGCTTAATACATTCTAAACTGTCAAATTAAGTCTCACACTTAAGTTAAATGAACATTTGAGAATAATAAAGGATATGGAATCAAATTCTACCTTAAGCACACTTTCAAGCAAACCTATGAGACATTTTGAGGGACCCTAATAGCCTGGTAACTGATGCTAAGATCTGATTACTATGCTTTACCTAATAGTCATTATTTGATCTGGTAACGACCACGGTTTTAAACAAATTAAGGCTATGGAAAAAAGTGAGCGAGATAGCCACAGGGTTAGCTGTTCTATAAGACACCTCTCCAAAAGAACTGTTATCAACATAAGTATTTAGCACTTCCTCCAGCATTTCCAGACATATTTGAGGTTAGAATAATTTTTCAGTTCCTCTCTGTGTACCAGAGGAAATTGTTAAAAGGAAAAGCTAGTTCTGCTACCTTGCTGGTCACCAGCTGGTTCCATGACTGCCTAGCTGAAGCTGGTTCTTCTTTCAGAACCTGAATTACCATGTCCTGCCCTCTCCAAGAGACTGCTGAGAGACTCAGCAGCCCTTCGTCCTCCTTCCTCAAAATGCACAGCCTCAGCTCTACTACCAGACTGTAAACAACAGGGCTATTTGTGCATCTCTCTAACTGCACAGTTAGTTTCAAAGTCCACAACCAGCCTCAGTGATTCCAAGGTATTTTTCTAGCCTCACTCTTACTAGAGAAAATAGAGTGTAAGTTTAATCTCAAGCGGGGCACCCCCTCTCGTGAAGTACTCTGCTACCCGCAGTAGTCAGTTGATCCTTACTTGGTAAAGCTGGAACCTTTTAGCTCTTCATCACATCACAGTTAATGAAGCTTTACATGGATCATCTCATAGAATCTCATGAACAACCCTATGAGCCCCATATCATTATTCCTAATTTGCAAATGCAGAAACTGAGACTGATAGAGGTTGGCAAGCTTGCCCACAGACGCACAGATGATCAGTGGGGGAGCCAGCACCCATGCTCTGAATCTCCACACCGTGCAGCCTACCCAGATACCATATTCTCATACATGTGAAAACATAATCTTTCTTTCACAACAGTTTTAGAAATTAGTTAACTAAAGCTGATTATCCAGTTTTTAACTCTTCTTTCCTCTACTTTCTCCCCAACCCACAGAGATCTATACTAGAGATGGGAACTCCTATGGGAGACCTTGTGAATTTCCATTCTTAGTTAATGGGACCTGGCACCATGAGTGCATTCATGATGGAGATCACAGTGGGCCATGGTGTGCAACCACCTTAAATTATGAATATGATCAAAAGTGGGGCATCTGCTTACAACCAGGTATGTATGGGCTGGTAAACTTCATATGTGGAAGGGAAAGGATACCATTCCTATGAGGCAAAAGGGAGAAGGAAGGGTCCATCGTGACTCAAAAATGACGAAAACAAATATCCTAGAGAAGGGGTATATATTTGAGGAAAGAGAGAGAAGTCGTGTGTAGCTAAGAACTTACTTTCAGAAGTAGGCCAGGAAGAAAACCAAGACAGGATGCTGTGATGGAAGACAAAGGATGAGGAAGTGTTCTATACCCCCAGATACCTTAGGAAGGGGAAATGGACCAGGCAGGAGCAGTCAGGAAATTGCTGTTGGCCTTTAATAGAGCAGTTTCCAAAAAACTAGTGTTCAAAGAAGATGGGTGATAGTGGACTGAGGAAGCTTCTTTTCAGATGATGGAGACTTAAGTATGTTTATTGCCTGAGTAAAGAGCAGCGAACAAGAGACAGATATCCCTATCCCTCTCAAAATTGGTGACGTTGTTCCTTTTGCTGTACCTGTACGTTGGTCAAAGCATTTTTTCTAGTTGCTTCTTACTTGAAGCAAACTCTTCAGGGTGTGCTAAAATATTCATTGTTCTTTAGAAAGAGAGACCAACGCAGCAGCTGCGTCACTATCCGGTATATAACCGAGACATATTTTCTCGATAATCTGGTGAGAATTACAGGGGATCATGGTACCTGACATGTGATGGGTGCCTAAGAAATATTTTTTAATGGGCAATAAGTTAAAAGAATCTACAGTATATAGAAAGGAAAAAGCTCCAGGCCTAAGTAGTAATAGTTATTACTTAAAGTAGTAATAGTTATTACTTGGCACTGCTGAGTGTCAGGTACTATTCTAAGCATTCAGCCTTTCTTAACTCATTTAATCCTCACACAGTTCTATAAAGTAGGTACCATTATTTATCACCATTTTACAGATGAGCAACGTGAGGCACAGGGGAGTTAATTCATTTGCCTAAGGTCACATAGCTAATAAATTTCAGAGCTAGGATTCAAACCCAGGATATGTGGCTCTGAAGTCCTTGCCTCAAATAACTGTACTATCCTGCCTTATTCAGTAGTCAATCTGGTGGTATTAGTAATACCACCACCAGAGCTCAGCTCTCCTTAAGGGAAGCTGAGCTTCAAACTGCAGAGTCCTAAGCAACCTGAAGAAATTATATTGAGCCAATGGTTCTCAAACTTCAGGTTGCAACAGAATCACTTGGAGAGTTTGTTAAAATACAGATTTCTGGGGCCTTGGTTGATGAAATAGCCTGTCTGGGTCAGACCATATTTGTGTGGAGCCGGGTGGAGATCCCAGGATTCCTGACCCTTATTCCCCTGTGTATTTATCCCATTCTACCTTGCTACCTTGACTGACATGTGTCTTGGTGCCTTTAGCCTACTTTGGATGGAAGGGGGGATTGTCAGTGCATTCATGTGACTCCCTTTCTACAGAAGAAGCAAGATTGTGAGTTTCTCAAACCTGAGAACTGCCAAACCATGGAGACTGTATTTTATAGCAAACACACTGCCCTCCTGCTGAAAGTTTCCAGATTTACAAGTGTTGGCCTTAGTGGTAACAAAGAACCTTTAGGCAATGCACTTGCAAATCCACCTATTTTGTTTTTACCAAATATCAGAACAACCTCTGTTGTTATTTAGGACATTCAGAAGTGGCTGAAGAAGCAGTGTATGCCATTCAGAAGATCAACAACACCAGACTTAGACAACAGTACTCTGGTTATAGCTTTGCCACAAACACCCCTATATCTTTGTTCCTATCTGTGAAATGAAGACATGACACAAAATGATCTCTAAGGGGCCTTCCAGCTTGAGAGTCCATAAGTTTGACTGGTTATGGGAGACCCTTTGGAAAAACCCCAAGTGAAACCTGGGATACGCTTGACATAAGTTATGTTGGTTTTTTCTTCTTGTTGGGAGCACATAGGAGGCTGTGAGTATATTTTTGAGCTAGTTGTATCAAGACCTACAAATCTTGTCCCAGAAAGAGCTTGAAGGTTCTTCATCTGAAATTATACATGCTTTTTAGATATTTGTTAAAGAAAATGATGTTCACATGCGTATCTGTATGTTTATAAACACATATATGCACATATATATGTACATATAGATATACAATGCATGTATAATGTTAGTTATATAATATTTGTCATATATTAAATCATCTATTAAAATATTAAGGAGAAAATGGACTGAGTTTCCCAAATAAGGTATCACTAGGCTTTAAATCTTGGGTACTTAAGCAGCATGTCTAAACACACACACATGCATATCCAGTGGTTTCGCTGCAGGCCATGAGCAAACCCCTCTGCAGTCTGCCACCACCTTTAAGTGAGCTCAGGGGTTGAGCACAGTTGAAGACTCCTACTTTTAGGCAGAGGGTAGGCATGGGCTAAAACATGGCATTGTAATTGATGGGGGTAAAGGGAGGGTAGAAGATAGGAGAGTGGAAGCTTTAGCCAGCCTAAGTCATTTCCTGTCCTATGACTTCAGTTTTTTTGTGTAACCAAAGAATCAAAATGTTGTCCAGTAGAACAATAACAGCCTCCATTTTAGCATATCCTAAGAGTATGCAAATTGAATGGCAGTATTTGTAAGCATTCTAAGTAATAGACAACATTGTGCCCTTACTTTATGATCACTAACGTATCTTTTTATCAAAGAAAATGGCTGTGAAGATTATTGGGAAAAGAAAGAGGAGATGGGAAGTTGCTACCAGTTTAACACTCAGGCAACTCTTTCTTGGAAAAAAGCTTATGTTTCATGTCAGAATCAAGGAGCTGACTTACTGAGCATCAACAGTGCTGCTGAGTTAACTTATCTTACAGGTAGGTTTAAGTTGCGTGTGGTAGAGCAAATTGCTGCGATTGTAAAGGTGCTGTCTGCCTTCTGTTTTCATATCTAGGTATGTTGTTTTCTGCATACATTTATCTTTTCTTGGGATTTAAACTTCAACACCAAAGCCCACAAGTAAAAAATACTGAATATAATCCTATTCTGTCTATTGAAAATGCATCTCATGATAGAGACCAAGAGAGGTTAATATTCAGAAAACGAGGTGAGGTAGCAAGATTAAACTGCTACCTGAAGCCTAGGTGAAAGGATTTGAAGAAAGGTAAGCATTAAACTCTTTGAACATTGAACGGTAGAGAACTTGAGGAAGGTGGAGAAGGTGGCTGAGTCAGAGTAGATCACCTCAGTAAAAAATCTTCACACTTGAATAAATGAGTTCAGTTCCACATCCGTAGATTCAACCAATCATAGATTGTATAGTTCTGTAGTATGTATTTAGTGAAAAAATCTGCATATAAGTGGACCTGCATAGTTCAAACCCATATTGTTCAGGGGTCAACTATAATTTAATCATCATTACAACACCATAAGACAAGTATTTTTATCCCCACTTACAGATTAGGGATTGATGTTTAGAAATAATATACCCAATATCTCAGAGCTATGAAGTACCAGAATTGGGATTTGAATATCAACATGTATAACTCCAGAGCCCTTGCTTTTTTACTATAGTACTTACTCTTCTTACATATCTTTTTTTTCTTTGTTTTCATCATTAAAAGTCTACTGGACTTTTACATTCCCACCAACAGTGTAAGAGGGTTCCCATTTCTCCACATCCTCTCCAGCATTTTTCATTTCTTGCCCTTTTGACAACAGCCATTCTAACAGGCATGAGGTGATGTCTCATTGTGGTTTTGATTTGAGTTTCCCTAATAACTAGCCATGTAGAACATCTTTTAATATGTATGTTGGCCATCTGTATGTCGTCTTTGGAAAAATGTCAATTCAGATCGTCCGCCCATTTTTCAATTGGGTTGTTTGTTTTTTGTTGTTGAAATGTATTATGAGTTCTCTGTATATTTTTAATATTAACTGCTTATAGGATAAATGACATGCAAATATTTTCTCCCATTTGGTAGATTGTCTTTTTGTTTTGTTGATAGTTTCCTTTGCTGTGCAGAAGCTTTCAGTTTTATACAGGCCAGTTTATTTACTTTTGCTTTTGTTTCTCTTGCCTAAGGAAACATATCCAGAAACATTGCTAACACGGGTGTCAAAGAACATACTGCCTATGTTTTCTTTTAGGAGTTTTATGGTTTCAGGTCTTACATTCAAGTCTTCAATCCATTTTGAGTTGATTTTTTTTGTGTGGTACAAGATAGTGGTCTAGTTTCATTCTTTTGTACGTGGCTGTCCAGTTTTCCCAATACCATTTATTGAAGAGACTGTCCTTCCTCCATTGTATGTTCTTTGCCCCTTTGTTTTAAATCAGTTGTCCATATATTCATGGCTTTATTTCTGGGCTCTCAATTCTGTTCTTTTGATCTATACGTCTGTTTTTCCTGCCAATACTCTACTGTTTTAATTACTATAGCTTTGTGGTAAAATTTGAAATCAGAGAGTGGCTACCTCCAGCTTTGTTCTTCTTTCTCAGGATTGCTTTGGTTATTTGGGGTCTTTTGTGCCTCCAGGTAAATCTTGTTTATATAAAATTTTGTTCTTTTCCTGTGAAAAACGTCATGGGCAGAACTTGAGAGTATTGTGTTAAGTGAAATTAGTCAGACGAATAAAGACAAATACTGTACGGTTCCACTCATGTGAAATATTTAAATAAATAAAGAAATGAACAACCCAAACCAAACAAAAACAAACACATAGATACTGAGAACAGAGCAATGGTTATCAGAGGGGAAGCAGGGAGAGAAGTGGGTGAAATGGGTAAAAGGGGTCAACTGTATAGTGATGGATGGAAACTAAAGTTTGGTGGTGAGCACGCCGTAGTGCATACACAAGTTGAAATATAATGTTGCGCACATGAAACTTCTGTAATGTTATAAACCTGTGTAACCTCAAAAAAAAGTCTGCTGGTCTTTTGTCATGCTTTTTGGCTTAAGCTTTATTCAGACCTCTTTCTTATAGTTTTAACCATTTCCTGTGTTGTTCGGGACTTAAATAATCAGACGTCTTGAATAGAAATCTGTCAAAGAAGCATAATGGGCTAGTGTTTGGCAATGGAATTCTATTCCAGACCCTGCTGAAACCTTACAAAAAATATTGTTGAGAGTAGACAGGGCCAATAAATTTAAGTCTCCCAAAATACTGACATTTGGAAACTGATAGCTTCAATGAAGGAGAAAGGTGTCAAAGTGTGACTATCAACACCATACGAAACAATCTAATGATGCATTTAGAGGAATAAATGTTGCAGGGTTCCTTTATGCATCAGTTTTCTTTAATAACACATAAAAGTGAGATAATGTGTTAAAGGACCCAGTTTTCCCCTATCCCTGGCCAGGCACTCCCCACAGTTTTTGCATATCACTAATTTTAGAGGTACAGCCCTTTCTAGTGATCCAAGCTTCTCTTTCACTGTGAGTGCTCTTTAGGGATATCAGTATGCCTAATTATGATTGCTGGTTTCCTAAGGCCTAAGAAAGCTGTACTTTAACATCTGGAACATTTCTTGAAGTCCCTATTAATATTGTGTCCCTTCCCTGAAAACTACCATGTTAAACAGTGGGCTAGGAACAGTGAGGCCCACAAAAGTGAATCAGAGATTTTGTGATCAAAGTGCTTGATCTAGTCAGGGAAGTAAGAGTTGTACCTACGCAGAGGACAGTGGAGAATGTTATTCCCAAAGGACCTCAGGGTTTCGCAGCTAGTGGTTAGGTGGGACTAGGGAATTTGCTGACAGAAATACAGCAGAATCAGCTCTCTTGATGATAAATCCCATGCAGTCTAAAAGAACTTTCTTTCTCTTTTGTGCCTGCCCTGCACCTAATTAGTTTGTTTCGATTTTGTTTTACTAATACAGGGACCTACGGTGGGGGATTTGGTTTCCTCAGCCTCGCTGGATTCTGTTTGAGAGTCTAATTTCCTATGGCTCTGGCCTTCCCAGGGACCTGTAACCACAGATTCAACCCCAGAGTTCAAGGGAGGACTGGGAGTCCCCAGAGCAGGAACAACACATTTCAATTCTTTCTAATTTATCTCTGGCCTCAGGGGCTGCTCACTTTGAACTACCTTGATAGTGACCCAAGGCTAGAACACTCCTAGGTCAGGGCTCCTGCTGGCTGTGGCCTTTCTGATGTTCATCCCAGATGCATGACCATTATCAGGCCCTGCAGTTTCTCATTGTGGGAAGAGGAATAGAAATATAGGGTCATGTCGGAATAGGGGTGTTGGGAACAGTCAAGAGTATCTAGCTCATTGGACTCGTCCATTTGATTAGATATAGGAACTTACGCTAGCAGTCATCTGATTCTTGATGGCAAAGATGGGCATTGATAGAGTCTCAAATTGGTCAGCGCCCTGCCAAACAATCTAATGATGCATTTGGAGGAATGCATCATAGCTTTCCTTGCCTGGACTCTATGAAGGAAAAAATCCGGCTCCAAATTGTCCAGGCCATATAAGAAATCCCTGCCCTTTGCATTTGCCCAACCAGGGCCCTTAAAATTTATCACACCCACCTGGCACGAGACACATAAAGAGCAGTCACAATTTTAAAATCTTATGATTCTAGTGAAGAATAAGTCATCATCAATACAGATCACAAATAGAACATTGTGATGAAGTAAACAAGAGCCTGACACCCTCCAAACATCATTTCGTTCCGTTGTAAATGTGTACTTGTCATGTGCAGGTGAACAATAGGATTATTCATAGGAAGCAGTAGGATTATTCAGACTTCCTGCTGGGGGATATCTGGAAAGTCTTCATGGAAAAGAGGACATTGAACTTGGGATAGATGGGAAGGATTGGTCCTCTATAGTATCCCTGGTTGGATTGGTCCTCTATAGTATCCCTGGTTAGAGATGAATGAAAGGAATTCCGAATGTCAGGGTATGGTTGAGTCTGGAGTACCATCAATATGTCATAGTTCCCAGGACTTCTTTAGGAATGCTGGAAAATCAATCACATTTACTAATGAAGAAAGATTTAGATTAGAGTAATTCCTCAAGGTCTTGCTATGCCAGTGCTGGCAGCCTTTGCTTATGCTAACAAGGTGAAAGAGAAGGATAAATCCAGAGTTCCCTTCAGCATTCTCCTCAAGCCATCTACCCAAACATCCACCTTCTCCTTCCTTAGTAGAGAGAGTATCCTTGTCATCTATCTCCTTGAGAAAAGTGAGGTGAACCCTTAGTTTGTCACCCTCACACTTACAAATTTATCTATACTGTTATTTCTCCAGCTCGTTCAAGGTTAACTACTTCCCCCAAGCTCATTGTATCCACATCAACTGTTTCTTCTATCTCTTATACTTCTATCGACACTCTATTAACTCTTCCCCAGTAGGCTATAAACTTGTTTAAACTTCTACCATTAAAAATGTTTTCCCTAGACCCTGAAGCCCTGCCTCTATCTTTCACAGTGAAGCTCCTGGAAAGCACAGTGTATCCTTAAAATTCACCTTTTTTTTTTGCGGTACGCGGGCCTCTCGCTGTTTTGGCCTCTCCCGCTGCGGAGCACAGGCTCCAGATGCGCAGGCTCAGCGGCCATGGCTTGTGGGCCCAGCTGCTCCGCGGCATGTGGGATCCTCCCGGACCGGGGCACGAACCCGTGTCCCCTGCATCGGCAGGCGGACTCTCAACCACTGCGCCACCAGGGAAGCCCCTACAATTCACTTTTAACCTCACATTTATTCCTCACTGGAGTGATAATTGGGCCTCTGTCCTACCACCCTCTTCCCAGACTCCTGCCCATCCCTTGGATGTTGGTGTCCAGGTTACTGCTCTTGGCCGCTTTTGTCTTTGCTGGTGCTATTTCTGCTTTACCCAGGGATTCTCCGCCACTCCCAGGTGTCAGTTACGGTGAAGTTACTTGTTTTAGGCATTTGGGTTCTAAAGTGTGAAAGTAAGGCAAAAATTACATAGAGTCAAAATTACCCTCAAAGAGCCCTTAAAGTATGGATATGGTTCTCTGCATGCAAATCACACAGATATATCTGGTATGTATGATGGAACAAAATCCATACTTTAAGATTTATTTATATTTATATAATATATATATATTATGTAATATAGAATTGTATTTTATATTTATATATAGAGATACATAAATTATATATATAATACTATAATATATCATACAGAATTCTCTGGGAGGAATTGAGAAACTGTTATCATGTGTTTTATTGCTGGGAATATTTCAACAAATTTATAGAGATTCCAACCTGTTAGCTCTTCCTGTTTGTCGACATCATCCTTGTCTTCTGTAGACCATTTCATTAGTTGCTTTATCTCTTCTACCTGGCCTTTAGTATCTTCAAATTCTTTGTGATGTCGATAAAGTCTTACCAGGTTCTTGAATAATGGTGTTGACTTCCTTGACAGTGGTGTGAAAATCCTTACAATTGTTCGCACATTCTTTTTTTAATACACATGGCCCCATACAACAAGCATGACTGCATCCATTGCTTGTGAGCATGTGCACATTGAGTGGCATATCAGCACTTAGCTTCTCTATTTAAAGTATTTCAGCTTCTCTTTTTCTTTTATGCTAATGTCATCTAGTTGTCAAATAATAAATTTGAATGATGCATCTCAACTGTAACATGAGTGTTTGCGTGTGTTTGTGTGTGTGTGTGTGTCCCATTCTGTATCTCCAGCCTTAATGTCTCCTCTGGACTCTAGAGTTGTATATCCCTTGCCTAGCTCAGTACATATTTCTGAAACAGTACTGGTTACACGTCACCATTTGGGGATCCATATCTGTGTCCTACTAGATTGAAATTGTCATGAGGGCAGGACTTTATCATTTTGGTTTTTATGTCCTTAGTACCTGGCAAATGATATGTGCTTAACGAATTTAAACTGTCAGTCTGGAATATAATCAGACCTTCAAAACTTAGATATGTATTGGAAACTACTTTTTCTATATCAGTACAAGAGGGTTAAAAATAGATAGTGAAACAGCTACTCTGAGAAAATTCTGTTCTTACTAGAAGAAAGGGAATTGGACAAGCTAATGGGAAAGCAGCATTGAATTAACTTAGCGGCCTTTGGGTTTCTCAATAGACTGCGGTTTTGTTGCCTCTCAGCATCACCTGCCTTTGTTGGATAGACAGCCACCTACAGGGTTCCTGCCTCATAATCAAGGCCTTCAGATATTTTTGCTATTAGTAAAAACTTAAGTCTGACTTAGATAATAACAGGTAATTTTGTCACTTTTTAAAAATGTGTAATTCTTACAGAAAAAGAAGGCATTCCAAGAATTTTCTGGATTGGTTTAAATCAGCTGTACTCTGCTAGAGGCTGGGAATGGTCAGACCACAAGCCATTAAACTTTCTCAACTGGGACCCAGGTAATTGCTCCCTCTTCCGCTTACTATGCACAGAGCACAAGCTTCAAAAAAAATAAGAGCTTCCCATCCCCTGAGAGCTTGTACAAATTTCAAACCTTGACAACTCTTATTATGGTTACCTCTCAGAAGAATATTTTTCCTACACCCTTGCGATACCATTATAGGCAAGTTGACCCCCAGCATGGGCAACTGAGCATTTGTCCCTAATCTTTAGAGTGACCCTGCATTTTTAGATAGGAGCAGAATGAGCCCCACTACGTGGCCCAGGAACCATTCTGTGTCCCTAAGAGGACTTGACGTGTCCATGACTGACCCATGTTGTGTTTCATCTGCAGCTTAACTCTGATATGGAAATAGTTCCTCAAACTCTTGGTGTCTTCCACTGCAGCACCCAAGTACTGACAACATAATGGTTATATTTTAATACACAAAAAAAGACCTTAAAGAAAATTTTATACTAAATAAACAAACCCTAACTCACTAACTAGCCAAAATGCCTTTTTTCCCCCTGGAAAGAAGGTTTAGATACCTTTTTAAAAAATAAAACCATAGGCTTCTAACAAATGTAGAATGTAAAAGTTAACACTAACTTCAGTACCAAAATATTCTGCATACATATAAGAAAAACAAGCACAAGAAGATACCAATACATGGGGCATTTTAGTTAATGGAATTTTATAAGTAGTAAATAAATTTTCTATTATCTCAGTAAATAAAATCTTTAAAGAGAATTTAATCTTAAAGCCTTAAAGGCATGGCAGAATCATAAATCGGTATTTTTATTGTGTAGGGTAGCAAATTAAGAGCTCCTGACCACAAGATACGACATGCAAGTTGGTTTGGGGCAGAGGTTTGGTTTTTGGTTTGGTTTTTTAAATTAACTACAACAGATCAGAGTATTCCTTCCCCCTCCGCCCCCTCCATATCCTGTATTTAAGAAGACATAGGTAAGCACATGATTGTCCATTGCAGCTTAAACATTTCAATTTAGTTGAAAGTTTTAACTATTTTATGAGTTAAAAGCAGAAAATTAGGAATACAAGTTATTTTTTCTAACCACCACCCTTGCCCCCAACCTTCTTCTTTTAACTCTGAAAATCCTGCTGTTCAAGATGTGCCGAGTGCACCTGTAATTGGCAGATCAAGCTGTGCGAGAATGGATGCCGACTCGGGTCTGTGGCAGAGTTTTTCCTGTGAGGCTCAACTGCCCTACGTCTGCAAGAAACTGTTAAATAACACAGTGGAGTTGACAGGTACCTTTCTTACTTCCTCCAACAGAGGTCCCACAATTACAGTTTTGTGAAGTCAAGTGAATCCAGCTCAGATACCTGTTTTCCCCTTTCCTTCACCTGATACTGCCAGTGCAGGGGAGTATTTGGTTTTGAACCTGTGGTTAGATATTATCAACTCCACATGAGTAAAGCTTTGGTTTGCTGTATGCCCATGAGAAGGCAGAGATATTCTAGATAGGAAATATATTTCTGTTCACAGGTGGCTCTTCTTTCTCTAGAGCAGAGTGGTTCCCCAGACCAAGAGCATCAGCTTCACCTGTACCTGTAAGAAATGCAAATTTTTCAGGACCTACCCCAGATTTACTGAACCAGGAACTCTGTGGGTGGGAACCAGCAATCTGTGTTTTAAAAAGCCTTCCACGTGATTCTGATACACACTCAAGTTTGAGGGCCACTGCTTTAAGACCAGGTCTTACATATTACCTGCCTCCGTGGGAAGTAAAAAATGATGGACACGGGAATGTTCCCACCCCCTTCCCCACAATGCCCACCCCTTCTTTGCCCACCTCTCTCTCCTTCTTTGCCAGACTAGTTCTTTGTGTTGCTAAGTCAGGTAGAAAGGAGGGGTGCAGATGGACAAAATATGTACACAGAGGGGGTTTTTTCCAGGGAGTTCGGGGATAAGAGAAACACAGGACAGCTGCAACTTCTGAGCTGCAGAAAAGTTTAAAAGTTTGAAAGAGAAGTCTTTGAAAGAATGGAGAAGAGAAATGCCCTACTGTCTTTCACAGCGCCCACCGTATACCTGGTGTTTGATTAAATCCTCACTGAATAAGAAAAACTAATACTTAAAACTGGGAGGAGAAGAGGAGGTTTTAAAATGTCTTGCTTTAAGGAATGTTGGGGGAAGAGAATAAAGCATAAAATTTCTTATCATCCAAATAGGAGCATAAAGCTATATTTTAAGTTTAAAAAAAATAGGGGAAAATGAACATTTATCTTCCAAGTTGATTCAAACCAAATTTAGTCCATACGATAAAAGGCATAGCAGAAAAAACAGCACAAATGAAAATAAACCAGGATGACTAGTGATAGATCAAATAAATATCCTGTAGTATCAATTGTTAAGTAAATCAAGATGCTTCCACATGATTGAACAGTATGCATTTATTAAAATAACTGTGCCAGCAGGAAAATACAAAAAGCAGAACAAGGGGCTTCCCTGGTGGCGCAGTGGTTGAGAGTCCGCCTGCCGATGCAGGGGACACGGGTTCGTGCCCGGTCCAGGAAGATCCCACATGCTGCGGAGCGGCTGGGCCCGTGAGCCATGGCCGCTGAGCCTGCGCGTCCGGAGCCTGTGCTCCGCAACGGGAGAGGCCACAGCAGTGAGGCCCGCGTATCGCAAAAAAAAAAAAAAAAAAAAAAAGGCAGAACAAAATCATATGCCTACCTATCATTTTAATCTTGTAAAACTATGTATTCATAGAGACAAAGACTAGAATATGAAAATAATTATTTCAGGTTCAATTATGGGTGTTTTTCCCTCTGTTCTTTTATTATAATTGTAAACTATCATCATAATAAGTGCTATTTCAGAACCTTAAAGCTAATTGAGTTATTTTACAAGTGTGAGAAGCTGAACCTGAATTTTATCGTTTAGTAAAAATCAAACTGTCCATATTTTTAAGATGCTATGTTTTCTCATAACAAACATTCCAAGTGGTCCGAATCCATGAAGCCTGAAAAGCCAAACTGTTTTCTAGTTCTTTTAAGAGGGGTAGGTAGAAGTATTTTGTATGGTTTATACCTTGCTCTTTTTCTCTAATCTTTCTTGACCATCACTTGAGTGAGTTTTATTATAGTCAAAACAAAGAGTCCCTCATTCCACGGACTGTAGGACTAGCAGAGGGGAGGAAAGAAGAGGTCCAGAGATGCCCTTTTCCTCCAGTGATGCCATTTCTTGGGTGTGAAGTGAATAAATGTTTTATTATGTTCCTTAAATATCTGCCTGCTCTCTGTTCAACAGTGAGCATTAATGCACATTCCTTTGCTGAGCTGACCATACATGAAAAGGAGGCTCAACTTCATAATCTCTCAAAGTCAGAGACTGGAGGGGAACCTCACAAATCCCATACCCAGGAAGAGATTTGTCAACAACTGGCTTACCCCACACTTTTCTTCTGTCTACTAGGACTAAGGGCAATCCCTCTTTAAATAGTCTGTGGCCAGCCATGTAGCACATCTGTATCACTTTAAAGTCACATTATTATCTGAATCCCTGCAGTCACTCTTATGATGTTATGTATACATTAGGCACCACAAAAATTCATGTCACTGTACCATCTGACATCACATTCTCCAGTTTTCCAGAAGCCTTATGATTCAAGAAAGAAGAATTTGCAATTCAATATTCAAGAATTTAAATACTGATTCAAAATAGATGTGTCTTTACTGGAATATAAATAGCTTCTTTTCCTCCAGATGTTTGGACATACTCAGATACCCGCTGTGATGCAGCAGACTGGCTGCCAAATAATGGATTTTGCTATCTGCTGGTAAATGAAAGTGATTCCTGGGATAAGGCTCATATGAAATGCAAAACCTTCAGCAGTGACCTCATCAGCATTCATTCTTTAGCAGATGTGGAGCTGATTGTCACAAAACTCCATAATGGGGGTAAGTTTTTAAGATATCCTCTTTGAGAGGTTTAAAACATTTTGAAGTATCCCTGTTTTCAGATTCTTAGCAAGAATGAAAAGCTTATAGTTTGATCCTGTACATCAGCATTGTCTAATGGAATTTTCTGCAGTGATGGAACCGTTCTATAGTCTGTGCTGTCCAATTCAGTAGCCACCAGCCACTTGTGGCTTTTGAGCCCTTGAAATGTAGCTAGGGCGACTGGAGAACTGAATTTTTACTTTCATTTCATTTTAATTGATTTACAGTTTTAAATAGCCGCATGTAGCTAGCAACTACCAACCTGACAGTACAACCATTGATTGAATAATTGCCCTCTTCTCATAAGCTAAATGCTGTTTAAGTTACTCCCAACACTTAAGTGATGATTGTTTCACTTTTATAATTATTTGAAAGCTGAAAAATGAAGAACAAAACACTAGAGAGCCAGTATTAAGACCTCCTCCTAGGATTCACCCATAGTAATACTAAGTACTAGATACCTATTCTGTGCCAGCATGGTGCCAGTTGTTTTACCTGGGAAGGCAGTATAGTCATTCCATGGCTGTGATGGACAATATCCTTATTCTAATTGTAATATCTATGACTGTATTTGTTGAGTTTCATTATTTCTCATAAAGCAAGGTTTATCTAAACCAGGTATCAGGAACATCCAGCCTACAGGTCATAGTACAGCTGTTCCACCTGTGTACCCTACCTGTATAAGTGACCTGAAAAGCCCTCATCATCGGGCCTGCCTAACTTATCAATACTTTTACAGGTTAATTAAGAATACCATTTACTGAATTAAAATTTTAAAAGAAAAAAAATACCGTCAAGGCTCCTAACACCCCATATCAGAATGTAAAAATCAGTAGCAGTGTACATATTGAAGAATGTAATTGAGTAACCAAACAAATAAAACATTTTTCTTTTAGATGCCAAAGAAGAAATATGGACAGGCCTTAGGAACATAAATACACCAACTCTATTTCAGTGGTCAGATGGTACTGAAGTTACTCTGACTTATTGGGATGAGAATGAGCCACATGTTCCCTACAATAAGACTCCCAACTGTGTTTCCTATTTAGGAAAGGTAGGAAACCTCCTCAAGTTTATTTATATCCTTATTGTTATACCTGAAAATCTAATAATAATAATAAGATGACTTTGGTTGGGATATTTGTGTTTAAGCTGGGAAAGAAAATAAAAGGTAATAACACTGTAGACTGTCTTTCCAGTAGCTGCTGAGAAAAGGTAAATAAAGCAATTACTAAAGAAGCAATCCAATTCCTGTCTGAGAGTATCTTCTCTGGTGTGAAACCGATCAAGAGAATCCCTTTAGAGCTCAGATTCTTGTGCCAGATTGCTTCTGATAAGCTGCTTTCTCTCAGTACCACCAGTGTGATATTTAGCAGATAGCCACAATTTAACCTGGAAAATCCCATCTTCTCATGTTCAGATCAAAGTAAGCCAACTTTGAGAACTGAAAAACTAGTTTTGTTAAAAAATTAGGTCTGACTTTGTTCAGAGAATATCTTACTCCTATAGAATGCATAAATGTTTACTGAGCATGCTTTGGACTTTCAGAAGAGTCCAAAATAAACTATTGAGCCGAAAGGACATACGTATCTCTATATTTTTGTTTGTAGCACTTTCCTGTGGACTCTTAATTGTTTGGGAGACCAGTCGTGTCACTCAGGCTTCTAGAGAGACTTAAGTGGAAGCCATAAATGATAGGGCTATTTAGAAGTGTTTCAATAGTAAAGATGTTTTTAGAAAGGTGTAAAGCTGAATTTAGAAGGGTGTCACATTTAATGCTCTATTTAAAAGGGTACACAGGATATCTTTAAAAGAGTATCAAAGATAGAAATGAGGTCCCATAGGCCAGAGTGAACTGATGGCTTATCTAGACAGCTTCCAACGTTCAAAACTGACCCGTATCACAGTTGACTTACTAAAATTTAATTCAAAGAAAGCAGAGTGACTTAAGCAAAATCAATGTTAAGTAGCACATTTGAAAGCTGGAACTTTGACGTCTAGACTGAAGTAGAGTTGGCAGAAACTTTGATTCTAAAATTCTTAGGGAGTAGCTATTCTAATCACCATCATCATCTTAAATGTGAGGAAACTCAGACAGGGAGATTAGGTGACCTGCCCCAAATTTTCTTTTGTTTGTTTGTTTGTTTAACATCTTTATTGGAGTATAATTGCTTTACAATGGTGTGTTAGTTTCTGCTTTATAACAAAGTGAATCAGCTATACATATACATATGTTCCCATATCTCCTCCCTCTTGCGTCTCCCTCCCACCCTCCCTATCTCACCCCTCTAGGTGGTCACAAAGCACCGAGCTGATCTCCCTGTGCTATGTGGCTGCTTCCCACTAGCTATCTATTTTACATTTGGTAGTGTATATATGTCCATGCCACTCTCTCACTTCATCCCAACTTACCCCTCCCTCTCCCTGTGTCCTCAAGTCCATTCTCTACATCTGCATCTTTATTCCTGTCCTGCCCCTTGGTTCTTCAGAACCATTTATTTTTTTAGATTCCATATATATGTGTTAGCATACGGTATTTGTTTTTCTCTTTCTGACTTACTTCACTCTGTATGACAGTCTCTAGGTCCATCCACCTCACTACAAATAACTCAATTTCATTTCTTTTTATGGCTGAGTAATATTCCATTGTATATATGTCCCACATCTTCTTTATCCATTCATCTGTCGATGGACACTTAGGTTGCTTCCATGTCCTGGCTATCGTTGCCCCAAAGTTTTTTAACCTGTGGACAAACTGGCTGTGTCATATGGAAGAAGACTAGAACTCTGGCAACTCTGTGGGCTGGGTTCTTCTCTCTTCAACTTCTGTATAGTGTCCTTTGGTGGTTTTATTGTCACACTTATAAGAAAATGAAATTCATCCCCACTGTGACCTTGAGGTGATGCTGAAGTAACAGGCTTCCAGGTTTGTTGGGTAGCATTTTCTAGGAGTATGTTCTCAGATTTAATCATTCATTTATATTCATTTTCTCCCCCTCCCTTTCCTCCTTCCCTTCCTCCCCCTCTCCCTCCCTGATAGTTGTGGGAAGAAACTATCTTGATTTAAGATAAGAGTTCAATTCTAAATATGTGGCAAATAATTTCTCTTGTGGGAAAAATTATTTTCTGTTTTTTAAAAGCTAGGTCAGTGGAAGGTCCAATCATGTGAAGAGAAACTTAAATATGTATGTAAGAAAAAGGGAGAAAAATTGAATGATACAAGATCTGATAAAATGTGTCCTCCAGTTGAGGTATGTAAAACCCCTGTGGAAATTTTTCTAAGCAATATTATACCTTCTTGGTTAGATATGGTAGTTGAGACTTAAATACTTTAGACTTGGAAAATAGAAGAAATTACTAGGTTCTGTTCATTTATACATTAGAGCAAGCCAGAAGATGGTGAATCGTAGATATCGGCACTCTTACAGAAGAAGAAAGAGTTATAGGAAAACTAATTATCTATTCATGAATTTCTATAAAAATGTATATGATTATATCCTCAACGCTGATTTTTTACTTCTCTTACTCGTATTATTCTTATTCAAAAATAATTGAACTAACAACTGTTATACTCTTATGATGAGCTAGGCATTAGGGGTAAAGAAAGTTAAGACATTCCTTCTGTCTGACACAGGCTCACAGCCTTATGGAGGTTTTCTATGAAATTGTATCCCACTCTCATCATGTGTTTAAATTCCCTGTCCATGTCCTTAATTTCCCTTAGTTGTAAGATGTTACTTATGTAACAGAAACTTGCTTGTTATCAAGTGCAGAAGACAGTGTGATATTTTTCCTCTGATTTAGGGCTGGAAGAGACATGGAGAAGCCTGTTACAAGATTTACAAGGATGAGGTCCCCTTTGGAACCAACTGCAATCTGACTGTAACTAGCAGGTGTGAACTTTTAACTCCTTTGCTAAATAATCTTCCTTAAAAAAAGTGCGTCTTCAATTTATATAGTATTTCAGTCACTGTAAAAAAACACCTACTAATTTGACTCTCATTTTGTAGATTTGAGCAAGAATACCTGAATGATATGATTAAAAAGTATACTAAGTCTCCAGAAAAATACTTCTGGACTGGCCTGAGAGATACAGATGCAAGTGGAGAGTATAGTTGGGGAAGTGCTGGTGGAATAAAGCGGGCTGTAACCTTTTCCAACTGGAATTTTCTTGAGCCAGGTGAGTGCCTTAGCCTTGAAAGCAGTAGAATACAGTGACTTGTGAGAGGCGGCATTCCTCCCAAATCTGTTCTTCACATACCTTTGAAATATGAAGGAGATGATGATTTTCAGGACTAGAGTCTGTCTATGGAACCATAAATAGAAGCAGCGACTATGTCTTCCCTATGAAATCCTCGGCAATTACCCAATAAAAGCTAGAAAACTCAGTTCTCAGAAACCACCATCTAATGGCACAGAGCTAGAAGCATCAGTGTGAGTTTGTTATCTTTTCCACGTAGTCTCAAACAGAACCTAGAAGCTTCATTGTGGAGCACTTTACATTTTCACCTCTCTGCTTCTTAACTTCTTTCTCCAAAATTGAATGTGTTTATTTCTATTATTCTCAATGGGTGAGAATTAAGGAGGCAATGTATTATAGGTATTATTTATTCTGAAAGGTAGTTTATCCTTCTTTAGCCTGAAGCGTTGACCATAATTAGCCATAGAATCAGAACATTTGAGCCAGAAAAGGCCTCAGAAGGCCCTTCTGATTTTAGAGTTGAGAAAACAGAGGCTTAGAAAGGTGACTTACTTGACGAAGGTTACCTGGTTATTGAATTGCTAAAATCCAGATCTGATTTCTAATTCAATGCTTTTTAGAGGACTTTCGCTTTTTGAGACAGCATTCGACTTTTCTTCCTTTGAATTATTTATATTTTCTTATGTTTGTATAATGGAATCATGAAGACCATTTTTATAACATAGAAATTGGAACATGTGAATGTGTAGTTAAACACACTATTTGAAATAGAGAATGCCCACAAAATTTGTGATACATGATCATCAGTATAAATATGAGTGGTATTGATAATAACAAGGTCATCTTTTTACTTGTAGAAGATGGAGGATGCAGATGCTAATCCTGGTTAAATTTCATCTTAAATTAGAATGTTCTAAAATACAAAATACATGATTTCTTTTATAGACACTCATACATTGTAGAGTCAGTGTCACATTTTTCATGGATAAGCCTCAGCGGTTGGGGGCAGGGGTGCTTAGGAAGTAGCTGTAATAGCTATTCTCTCAGTCTGTAGCCAGAAAGACTGCCTTTAAGTCCTCTTTACCATTATTACTCCCAGATTCAGCCAGTTTGGTTTGCATTGGGCAAGCCATGGATAGGGGGTAGAATAAGAGAAAATAGCACACCCATCCAGGGTAACACAGCATTATTTTTCCCAATTCCTTGTTCCTCTTGCTGTCCTTGTATAATGAGACATGAGACCATATGGCTTCTCTGTGTGATGGAATGGAAGTTGTCCTTATTACTTTGCAATGTATGTTCTTCTTGTCCTCTGTGCATTTTCAGCAGTGTAATGTAATGGGAAAGGGAGCATGGCATTTTGCCAGACAAATCTGGGTTCAAGTTCTGACTCCTCCACTCACTAACTATGATTGTGGGCAAGTCACTAATTCTTCATCTGGAAATGGATCTGACAATACAAACTACCTTTTAATGTTGTAGTGAGTAAATAAAATTCTGGCTGCCATAAAATTAATAGTAAACAAATGTATATTACCACACACCTCCTTTTACCTTTATTGTACCAGCTCTTCCTTTGGATCTGAATCTGAGAGTGTTGTTTTGAGGTTTACTAAGTTGCTTAAAAACTGTTGAAAGCTGTTAGGTGAATATGAACGATTTAGACTGTTCTGAGCATCATAGTGGTTTAGGGTACAGCTCTACACGCACACCACCTAGATTCCAATTCTGGATCAGCAACTTTCTCACATGTGACCTTGGACAAATCACTAATCCTCACCGTACCTCAGTGTGACAATAGAATCCACTCTATGTGAGGATCAATTCACTTAATCCTCTTAGAATAGTACGTGGCAAGTAGTAAACACTTCTCTGTATTACTGTCATCATTATTATTGTGAACAACACATTTATTTCCTCCATTTTCTTTCCTATTCTCTCTCCCCACTTTGAATCAAACAAAGTGTGTAGGCACTAGAAAATGTTTGGGCTTTAATTGTTTAATGTTTTTAAAAAATATTTATTTTATTTTTTGACTGCGTCGGGTCTTAGTTGCAGTACCTGGGATCTTCATTGAGGCATGCGGGATCATTGTGGTGCACTGGGTTCTCTCTAGTTGTGGCATGCAGGCTTCTCCCTAGTTGTGGCTCACGTGCTCAGTAGTTGCGGTGCACGGTCTTAGTTGCCCCGCAGCATGTGGGATCTTAGTTCCCTGACCAGGGGTCGAACCCGCGTCCCCTGCATTGGAAGGTGGATTCTTAACCACTGGACCACCAGGGAAGTCCCTTTAATGTTATTTTTAATTAAACTTTTCTGTTCAACCCCAGCTTCTCCAGGAGGGTGTGTGGCTATGGCTACGGGAAAGTCTCTTGGAAAGTGGGAGGTAAAAGACTGCAGAAGCTTCAGAGCACTTTCAATTTGCAAGAAAATAAGTGAGCGCCCTGAGCCTGAAAAAGCAGCCCCCAAGCCTGAAGACCCCTGTCCTGAAGGCTGGCATAGTTCCCCCTCAGGTCTTTCTTGTTATAAGGTAAAGTAATATTCTCATTCAATCCCTCAATGAAGCTATCTGTCTACTATCCTAGTCCATGTTTTTGTCCAAATTGTGCTCCTTCCCAGACATATACATCACCTACTGAAGTGTTTGGGAGCACAGAGTCCTTGTCAGGGTATCATTGAACGTCTGGTGTCAGATGACTCATTCCCATATAAACTCATGTGCTACCCAAAAGAGCAGGGCCAGAGCCAGAACTGGCTCTTTCCTAGGGTTCTTTTGTTTTGGGAAATTGGGTGAGCTGCATGCCATGCTAATACTTTGCTTACAATTCTCATATCCCTTTAATTATTGTTGTCAAATGAAGAGTTCTGTCACTTCTTACAAGTCAAAAATTTTATTTTAGGGTCCGTGTCAGTCTGGCCTCTAGTTGACACTTTCAACAGGACCTGTCTGTGTCACAGTATATGGGCCTTTACCTATGACTTTATTACACTTCTAAGAATCCATTTCAGGGGCCCACACATTTGACTGTAATTGACTTTGAACTTATGAATACTTTATGATTATACCAGGAAACAAATTAACATTATATTTTGTTAAGCTATTTCATATAGAAAGAATTGTAAGAAAGAGGAACTGGGAAGAAGCTGAGAGATTCTGCCAAGCACTTGGAGGGCACCTTCCTAGCTTCAGTCATATGGATGAAATAAAGAAATTTCTTCACTTTCTAACAGACCAGTTCAGGTAATATTTTTAGAATGAGTTCTTCTCTGTTAAATTTGATGTCCTCTAGGTATTCAGAATTGACATGTTTTATTATCTAAAAGGGTTATTCAGTACTTTAACAGTCATTCAACATCAAACATTTTTATGTGCAAGACGCTATGAGGGATTCAGAGATGAAGGAGACAGAGTCCCCACCCTTTGTGTAGTGTAATAATGTCCAGCAGTGGGGATAAGAAAAGTATGGTGGAAAAATCTAGAACACGAGTAAGGAGAGGCCATGGGAATTTAGAGGAGGGAGGAAGTGTTTCTGGGAGGTATAATTGGGGAAAATGTTATGAAGAAGGATGGTTCTTAGGAAGTAAGGTAATATTTGAAAGTTAAGTTGGGAGAAAAAGCCAGGGAAAGCAGAACATAAGCAAAGGAACTGGGACTAGAATATACAGATATGGTGAAAGAGAAATGAGCCAAAGAACTTAGCTAGAAAATGGAATTTGGGTATAAAATTAGAACACCCTTTCTTGCCAGGGAAGGAGTTTAATAAGTCAATAGACAAAAAACAAATGAACAAAAACAAAGTGTGTGTGTGTCTGTGCGTGTGTGTGTGTGTGGAGAGAGAGAGAGAGAGAGAAACAGACAGACAGGCAGACAGACATGGTAGGTAGATGCAGAACAATTAATTATAAGGCTATTACAGCCCAGCTGGTAGAAAACTACATTGAAGAAGGGCAGTAAGATGGGACAGTAAGGAAGTGATCAGAGATGTAACAAAGATGGAGTCAATAAGCCACTGTGATTTTGATGTTATGTAGAAGGAGGATTCCTGAACAGTTTTCTTGATGTCCTTAAAGATAATGTGGAGAAATGGGCAAGGTGTTGCTGCCATAGAGGGAATATTTTCAGAAGCTTTGGGGACAATCATAGGTATGAGGGGCTTCTACTTCACAATTTATTTTTCCCCTCACTTTTTTTTTTCTTTTTTAAGAGAATGAACTTTTAAATTTATTTATTTATTTATTTTTGGCTGTGTGGGGTCTTAGTTGCAGCATGCGGGATCTTTCATTGCAGCACATGGGCTCTTCATTGCAGTGCACAGGCTTCTCTCTAGTTGTGGTGCACAGGCTCCAGAGAGCATGGGCTCAGTAGTTGTGGCGCACAGGCTCTCTAGTTGTGGTGCGCGGGCTCCAGAGAGCGTGGGCTCAGTAGTTGCAGTGCACAGGCTCTGTAGTTGTGGTGCGCGGGCTCCAGACATCGTGGGCTCAGTAGTTGCAGCACACAGGCTCTGTAGTTGTGGTGCGCGGGCTCCAGAGATCGTGGGCTCAGTAGTTGCGGCGCACAGGCTCTGTAGTTGTGGCGTGCAGGCTCCAGAATGTGGGGGCTCAGTAGTTGCGGCGCAATGGCATAGTTGCCCCACGGCACGTGGGATCTTATTTCCCAGACCAGGGATCAAACCTGCGTCCCCTGCATTGGAAGGCAGATTCTTAGCCACTGGACCACGAGGGAAGTCCCTCCCCTCACTTTTTGAATCGAAAAGAAGACCAGAACTTGGGGTTTCCCTGGTGGCACAGTGGTTGAGAGTCCACCTGCCGATGCAGGGGACACGGGTTCGTGCCCTGGTCTGGGAAGATCCCACGTGCCATGGAGTGGCTGGGCCCGTGAGCCGTGGCTGCTGAGCTTGCGCATCCGGAGCCTGTGCTCCGCAACGGGAGAAGCCACAACAGTGAGAGGCCCACGTACCGAAAAAAAAAAAAAAGAAGACCAGAACTTGTAAATCAAGGATTCAGGGTATACCACGCAAAATTAAGGAAAAGAAATCACCACCTGGACATACCCTAGTGAATACTTTCCTGATCATTTTGACTCAAAAAAACAAAGACTTCAAAGAAAAATAGCAAAAATAAAACAGGTACCAAAACACAAAATCCAGCTAGCCTTCTTCTCTAGGACATTAAATATAAGAAGGCATTTTAAAAATTGACGTCTAAAGAGTCTTGAACTGGAAAATGTGGGCAATGTGTGGATCTTAGTTCCCAGTTGTGTGGTTTTTCATTTGTGAAGATAGTAATTGATAATGCTCCCTACTTGAAAAAAATTTCAGACATATTCCAGTTGAGAGATGAATAAAAATCAAAACACATGAACAGGTATTTTGTTGTTAAAGAATTAGAAGGAAGAATACATAACATAAAAACATAGCCCCAGTCTAAATAATGCAATATATGTAATTATAAAATTACCCTAAATTATCCTAAAGTTAGAATGTAATTATCCTAAATTCTGAAAGAGAAACAAGAATATTTTAATAAAACCAGGTGTTAACTCTGGTTAATACCAGAGTTTATAACTCTGTTTATAAATAAAAACTGAGATGTAAAGAGATAAAATGATTGTGAAAACTGAAAGTATAATAAATTCTTCATTTTACCTGGAAATCATATTTAGAAACACAGAGTCTGTATTTTTTTAAAACTGTAAAGAGTATGTTCATCTACTGAATATGTAATGAGTGGGGAAAAAAAGGCCCATACAACAAATTATAAAGGAATAAAATAACAAAGCATAAAGTCCGGCATAAAGAAGATGGCAGAAGACCAGATGTATCCATTATCAGTTATGTTTAAGTCCAAGTTTGCAAATGTGTTCAGTAATGAAACCCAACTCTATGCTGTCGAAAGATACCTAAAACAAATCTTGCCAATTAGTACCTTTCCAAAAGCCCAAGGAGTATTATGTTCTTTTCCTGGAAGGAAGGGACCACAAAGTGTTTCAGAATCAAAACATTTTGATAAAATCCATATTTTCTGACACTCCTTTTAAAATTAAAACCACTGGCAACATTTTCATATTGCAGCAATAATTAGTGCTGATTAGCCAATGGCCCACCAAAATGTGGCATCACTCTCCAATTTGTTACGGTCTCCAATTTATTACTCCTTGGCCACTTATGTTATTTTATTTCTTTATAATTTGCTGTATGGGCCTTATTCACCCAAGTAGCATTGAGTTAATAATCACAAACTTAATGTAAAACTTAGAATGGGAAAATTAAAATAATGGGCAAAATTATATTGTGTAAATGTGAATGAAAAAGCTAGAGTTGTAGTATTAATATTAGATAAAATACAATTGAAGTAAAAAGACATTAAATGGGAAAATGAGATCTTATTATTGATTAAAGGTACAATCTACAGTGAAGTTATAATAGTCAAGAACCTTTACACACTTAAAAGATATCAAAATATATAAAGCAAAAATATTAATTATATTGCTAAAATTTTTCAATAAAAATAATAATGAGAGACTCTAACGCTCATCTTATTTATCAACAAATGAGACAGGCAAAATAGAAATAACATAGAACATATGAATAGTATAATTAAGGTTGATTTAATAATATCCTCTTTATTTATAGATTAAAAAGTCTGTATATACTTCCTTTTCAAGCTCTTTGCCTGGATCACTTAAAATAATGGATCTATTAGGCTAAAAAAAAAAAAACCCTAACATTTCAAAGTGGTAAAATTATATAAGTTACATTAGAAGTGAAATCAAATCCCCTTCACCTAAAAATCCAGTGTTTTTTAAAAAAAAATTTATTGGAGTATAGTTGATTTACAATGTTGTGTTAGTTTCAGGTGTACAACAAAGTGAATCAGTTATACATATACATATATCCACTCTTTTTTAGATTCTTTTCCCAAATAGGTCATTACAGAGTATTGAGTAGAGTTCCCTGTGTTATACAGTACATCCTTATTAGTTATCCATTTTATATATAGTAGTGTGTATGTATCAATCCCAGTTCCCAATTTATTCCTTCCCCCACCCTTTCCCCTCCGGTAACCATAGGTTTATTTTCTACATCTGTGACTCTTATTTACAAAATAAACATTCAGTGTTTTTAAGAACTCTTTTGGCAAGTAAATCAAAACTGTATAGATGATAATAAAAACACTCATTCTGAAATTCATGAGATACAACCAAAGCTATAGCTGGAGGTACATTAATAGCTTTAAGGGCTTTATTTATTTATTTATTTATTTGCAGTATGTGGGCCTCTCACTGTTGTGGCCTCTCCCGTTGCGGAGCACAGACTCCGGATGCGCAGGCTCAGCGGCCATGGCTCATGGGCCCAGCCACCCCACGGCATGTGGGATCTTTCTGGACCGGGGCACAAACCCGTGTCCCCCGCATCTGCAGGTGGACTCTCAACCACTGCGCCACCAGGGAAGCCCAGGGCTTTAATTATTAAACAAAAATAATGAAAATAAGCATTCACCTAAAAGTTAAAATATTTATCAACATAAATAAAAGGAAACCATAAGAAAGAACCTAATAAAAATAAAAGTGAAATGAATGAATTAGAAACTAGAAAAGCAGTAGAACTGACAAATCCTCGAGTTTTATCTCTAGAAAAAAAACTACAAAGCAGAGGGAAAAAATCTACTGATGACTAAATCATGAAAACAAAAAAGAAAACAGATACTTAAAATGAAACCTAAGTAAGAGATTATAAAATCCTTTCAATGGAGAATTTTTTAATTGGTAAGAATCCTATGCATAATTCTGTGTTATTATAATGAAATTATTAAAGTGAACAATATCTAGGGAAATATAAATTAGTATATAATTGATTTAATAAGTGGAAACCCAGTATTCCAATAGCCATGGAAAAAATGGAAAAAGTTAACAAAGAATTTCTTCCAAGAAAAAGATAGGAACTACATATATGGTTCTATATGTGAACTCCTTCATATTTTAAAAAAGAGATCATTACCATGTATTTCAGTAGTACAACCAAGAGATTGTATTCCATTACATAGAAACTGGTGCAGGCATTCAGTTTATTTCACAAATAGTCTAATTCTGATATGACAACCTGTCAAAGATAGCACAAAGAATTATAGACCAACCTCATATCTAGACTTGAAAAAGTAAATACTAACAAGGGATACAATAAGAAACACAGATACCCTGCTTATTGCGTGCCAGATAATGTCCTAAGTATTTTCTACTAACTA